TCAGGCCGCCCCCAATGTTGATGTCAGGACTGTAAATTATTTTTATTTTATTTCATTTTACTTTTTTGTTTTACTTTACTACTTACTACTTAGTATGCGCCTTTCACCAGGTGGCGCCGTAGGTGACCACTGTTCTGCTGTTTATTATGGAGTACCAGAGGCAGACAGGAAGACAGAAGAAGTACATAATACATCATAGGCTGGGAGGACAGGAGTTTTACTCTGTCCACATCTGGCCACTCATGGTACTGCAGCCAAAAAAGCCACACCTACTGGAGTCAAAGCCAAATAAATACCAATGCGCAAAACTTTGGAATTTGTTTGGAGAACAAAATTCATAGTCACACATATTATGCAGTAGCAGGAGACAGGTTGTTTGCTGAGAGTTGTAGGAGTGTTGAGAATTATTTGTGTCTTCAGTCAATAGTAAAACATGCTATTTATTGGTTAACAGTGCTCTGCTCAACTTACCCGCTGTAGTTAAATTACTGTCTGCGAGGGAAGAATTGGAGTCGTTGTACAAATCCATGGAGGAAACAGGAAAAAAATCCAAGTTCCAAGTGTTAATAATACAGCTGTCTGTCCTTGAAGGGCAAGGTGTGAGCGCCTGGAGTTCCCTGCTACTCTTCAGGAGTGATTCCAGTCCTTTTGCATTGTGCCTGAGTCCGTGTGTGAGAGAGCGGCTCTGCTCCTGCAGCCATAAACAAGCCTCTCCCAGTCAGGAGCATCTTCACTGGCATCCGAGCTGCGCTCACTCCGCACTGGCCGCTGTCCTCGTCCGTGTGCGCGACAGATGTGTCTTATAGTTTTAAAAAAAATTAAAAAAATAAAAATAATAAAGGAGAGAGTTCTTCTTAAGCCCCCCCCCCCAAAAAATAAATAAATAAATAAATAAACCCAAGCCCCCGTATCTGTTAAGGTTAAGACCGGACTAGAAAGAAAAGGACAAATGTGATAAAAACAAGAGTTGAAATATAAATAATTGGTTTCTACAATCTGATTGGTGAATTCAGCCTCGGTCTGCAGACGGACTCAAGGTCCAGCAGCTGATCACCAGCTGTCACCTGAAGGCAACAAATGAATCACTCTCCTCTTCTGGTTCCGACTCATTTACAGGCTGGACCCTACAGGTCATTTCCTACAATACGCCGCTAGATGTCATTCGATTCGCGGATTCAGAGTCACCACACGTCAGCTTCGTTAGAGCCACGGTCTAAATGCGGTCTCAGTAACTCTGTCCGAGTTAGGGGCAGAGCTGGGCATTGATTGGTCCCCCCCCCCCTTGATGTGGTGGTTCTCCCCCCACGGAGCTGCGATCTCTGAGTCTGGAGTCAGATCAAGAAACACTCACAGAAGGCCGGCTAACCTGTCCAGTTCCTGGAAAAAAATCAATGTTCAGGGAGCACAGGGCGGTTTTATCAGATTGGTTTAGATGTTCATTTTTTGTATATATATATATATATATAAAAGAGAACTCACCTGGAATTTGAATCTATTTTAGTTTCTAGTTTTTTTTTTTCATCTTGATTGACATTTTTTCCATAAAACTTTGTCCAACTTTTGTAGCTCTGGCTCAAATGAAGAAGAAGTTGTGAATAATAATAACTTGTCAAGTTTGGAGGGGGTAAGGCATGAAGTAGGTGGGGGGGGGGTGTGGAATCATTTTTTGCCCCCCCCTTTACAGCAGGACAATAACAACAGGCGTTGTTAAGAACTATCTTCAGCACAAAGAAGATGACGAATTCCTTGATGTGGTGGTTCTCCCCCCACGGAGCTGCGATCTCTGAGTCTGGAGTCAGATCAAGAAACACTCACAGAAGGCCGGCTAACCTGTCCAGTTCCTGGAAAAAAATCAATGTTCAGGGAGCACAGGGCGGTTTTATCAGATTGGTTTAGATGTTCATTTTTTGTATATATATATATATATATAAAAGAGAACTCACCTGGAATTTGAATCTATTTTAGTTTCTAGTTTTTTTTTTTCATCTTGATTGACATTTTTTCCATAAAACTTTGTCCAACTTTTGTAGCTCTGGCTCAAATGAAGAAGAAGTTGTGAATAATAATAACTTGTCAAGTTTGGAGGGGGTAAGGCATGAAGTAGGTGGGGGGGGGGGCCTCAATCATTTTCTGCCCCCCCCCCCCCCCCCCCCCACACACACACCACACAGAG